ATATTAATGAATAAATAGATAACAAGTATATGATCAAATGCTACAAATAAAATTTTTGCCAGTTATTTAATGCCATCAATATTGTTCAATTTTTAATAACTAATGAGCTTTTGTAAAAATATCATTTCTATAAATCTTCTTCATATGCTACAAGATTAGTTGATTGGATGTTACTACTTTGTAGCTCAAGTAATGTAACATTTATGAACAATGAGATAGCAAGTACATTTTCCTATGCTCTGAATACATAATAATTTTGTCAAGAATTTAATATTGTCAATACTTTTTAGCCTTCAGTAACTAATGCAAATTTATAATATTATTATTATTTTTTTTAAGATATAAATTTTTAAAAATAGAAAATAATAATATTTCAATTATTGTTGCTACCAATAAATTAATAAGACGGATGATAACGCATTTGAAGAAAGTGAAGGCCAACCACATGATTGTGCTCGACGAACTTCTGCTATGAATTTGTCCAACTGGAACCACTTAAAGAAATCGTCTATCTTATTGGTATCTATCATCATAACTTTATCATGTAAATATAAAGAATCCATATCATATGTCCATTCAAGCATGTAACACCTAAAAATTTGATTTGCCTTCGCTTTCAACTCTTGTAGAGTATCATAAGACCTAGTCATATATTCTTACAATCATTGCTTATAGTAAAAAATAAATCTTTTGTAGGGATGTTTGTAGCCTTCTCTAAACTAAGCCAATACACTACGAATAAAATTTTATAAAATTTAAGAACTCATGTATTTGGCAAAACAAACCTAATATAAGAAATTCCATTTAATGTTCAACCTACTTAATAAAGAATTTACTCAAATAAATAATTTATTTATGCAAATATATTTCATCTACTACATGAATAGTTGATTAAACATTACATCTTTACAACTCGCATAATGTTACTGGATGATTCAAGAAATAACATTAAATAAATGATATTAATGAATAAATAGATAACAAGTACATGATCAAATGCTACAGATAAAATTTTTGCCAGTTATTTAATGCAATCAATATTTTTCAATTTTTAATAACCAATGAACTTTTGTAAAAATATCATTTCTATAGATCTACTCATATACCACAAGATTAGTTGATTGGACATTACTACTTTACAGCTCAAGTAATATAACATTTATGAACATTGTGACAACAAGTACATGTTCATATGCTCTGAATATATAATAATTTTGTCAAGAATCTAATATCGTCAATACTTTTTATCCTTTAGTAATTAATGCAAATTTATAATATTTCTTTTATTTATTTTAAGATATAAATTTTTAAAAAATAAAAATTAATAATATTTCAATTATTGTTGCTACCAATAAATTAATAAGACGGATGATAACGCATTTGAAGAAAGTGAAGGCCAACCACATGATTGTGCTCGACGAACTTCTGCTATGAATTTGTCCAACTGGAACCACTTAAAGAAATCGTCTATCTTATTGGTATCTATCATCATAACTTTATCATGTAAATATAAAGAATCCATATCATATGTCCATTCAAGCAAAAAAATATAATTAATCATTATTAAATCTAACAAATATAAGAGACCGTTAAATTACTTTAATTTCATTTTATATACTCATTATTATTATACAATATTCATAACTAAATTAGATTTCATAATTAATCATTTATTGAATTAATATATCACTCAAGCTTCCAATTTTTGAAATATATTATAATTTTAGATTTTCTATGCTAATATTATATTAAATCCGTTATAGAATATATATTAATTAAAATTAGTTAGCAACTAATTTTGGTGCTTAATATACATAACTTAATGTGTAATTACTATTAATCATAAAATACTCTCTTAACTGGATTAATTCATTTTCTCTAATTAAGAATTAATCATAACACACTTCTTAATGTACATAACTTCATTTGCACTCGTCTCGACGACAAAGCATGAGGAAACTTCATTTCGCACTCACCGGCAACAGAAAAATTATTCTGTGGGGACACTGTATGTTATTCAGAGGCCAATCAAAACATATTACATCATTTTTTTGATGTATACCGTGTGTACCGAATGACATGACACATTTTAATTGACCTCTGAATCATTCAGTGTCCGCACAGAATAATTTCTGAGGAGGGCAAGGCATGGGGACTGCGCCGAATCATTCAACCAAATAGTTTGGCAGGTTTACTTCTTTTTAAATTTATGTTATTTGATGCTCTACTGCTAATTTTTATAATCACTCCGCTCCTTAAAGAAAAAGCCAATCACGTGAATCAATACAGAGATTTTGTGTACTGCGATTGTTTTTTAACGCTTGCAGAGCAAATAAAAGTTTGGTCTTCTTCGTTGGCTTTTCTCAATTAATGACCGGTTTAAACAGTTCAATATTACTAGATAACTCCCCAAGTTGGATCGGGACTAATAAACGACGGGTCAATGACGCACAACTAATATTCCCGGTCGAATCAAATTAAAATCTTAATGCCCAGACCTAATAAGCATAAACCCTGGAATCAATTTGAATAAAATAAGTCGGACTAGTCTGCACAGGGGTCCCCATCCCTGGAGCAATTATTACGTCCGGTCACCTAATAAGTTGATAGACCAATAACCACACGCCACGTCACCTAAAACTCGGTATTGAGCACTCGGTATACATTCGGATATGTTCGGATTTGACCGGAGATAATAATTGCTCCCGTCCCCGACCATGTTGCAATGCAGCTAACGCATCGACCCGCTACCCAAGCCAGATAGGCACTGAGAACTACTGCTGTTTTTTTTTTTTAAGCCAATTAAAGCAAACTCACACATACAGCGTATACAGAAAGACTCGAATCCAAGACCTCTTAGTTGGTAGCCTAAGCTCTCAACCAACAAGCTAAGATGAGCTGTGTAGAACTACTGCTGCTACTATGGCTCTCACAAAGAGTACTTTTCTCTCATTTAGGTTAGGGATTATTTGATTTGATTTAAAATGAATATAAAATATTTTAAATATAAGATTTTTATAAATATTAGTGTTTTTTTTTTCTGAAGTAAATGAAATACAAAGGTAAAACTGAATGTCTCAATGAGATGAATTAGCTTAGAAATTTTGAACCAAAAATGGTAGATCAAATGCTGTTCAATAATGGTATGCTTATAATCAAATTGAGCTGCTCGATAACACCAATCTAATGATCATATGATCAGTCAATTTTGACATTGTCAAGACATTCAAATATTTGATAAATAATTTATAATTAGAAGAATTAATATGGACCAAAAAACTCATATGATCATCTTGTATATAGATATAATATTTGAATAGGAAATTTTTAGAATTAAATTCAGGATCATCCGAATTTCAATTTTAGCAAACTTGTAGTTGAAATAAACATCTCAATGAGATGAACTTATTGATGCCACAACTGATCTATTTCCAACATCAAATGAGCTCAAATCAAGCACTTGAGTTATATTTAAAAACTTCTAAATATAAATTGATGAACAAATGACTTTCAATTATAACATGCTTATCCAATTGAGCGGCTCAACGAGATAAATCTAACGAGCTCAAGAACAATCAATTTTTACATTGTTAAGACATTCAAATGTTTGGTAAATAATCTACAATCAAGGATATCAATATGAACTGTACGATATAGTGTTTTGGATTTTAGCAAAATTTATCAAAATATTTGTCACAAAAATGCTATAAATAAGATCTAAATCTCAATAAAAGGGGAATTGGATGAGCCGAGTGAACTAAAAAATTTTCTTGAATTTTTGGGCTATCATCGCCAACGATTACCTCCAACAATCGTCGCCACCATCTCTGAACTGTAGTCAAGATCTAACCTTATTGTTGGATTTCTAGATATAATATAGGGGTGTCAATTTTGGGTCACGGGTCGGGTTCAAGTCGAACCCGAAACTGATCCGGCACAATTCGGGTCAACTCGAACATGACCCATTTTTTAAAACGAATCGGTTTTTGGGATCCAAACCTGATCCAACACGGATTTATAGTATTTGGCTAAAGAAGCGCGTGAAAATGGCAGCCTCCCATCGCTGCTTCCGATCGTTGACCACCTGACGGACTGGTGATGTCCGATCCGAGTTCTTCGAGCCGAGTCTGTCAAGCGCACAAAAGTGGGACGGCGACGTCGCCGGCGAGACTGACGAGGCGGACGCGGATGGCTAACAGCCTAAGCGGGTTGCATCTCTTCGAGCCTTTGGCGGACACGAAAAACTCATAAGGCGACGTCCAATCCGAGTTTCGACAACTGACGCAGCTTCGGGCCTTCTGCAGACGCGACAACTGATGTTGCTGGACGCGATGGCTGATGTGGCATTGCTTCGGACGCAACGACTAACGCGACGGGACGGACAAAAAGCGGGAAACGATCGTTCCGGGTCAAATCGGGTTGATTTCTGATTTTCGGATCGTGTTCAATATTGACACCCTATGTCCATAGAATTCTGAATTATATAATCTCTAAAATGGGAATCAATCAATTTCTTTCTTCAATTCTGAGGGGAATTTTTTTTTTTTTGCATCTCTTATTCTCTAGCATATTATCAACTAGATCAAGTCTTGTATTTTTTACCTTTCAAAATTTTCATGTAAAAGAAATTTCTTATCTCCTATAAGATTGCTATAATTTTATATGAGATGAGTATATTCATTTTTAATTCCAAGTTCCTATGAAATGCAATTAAGATATTTTAGTAATTATGAAGTTAAAATATTTTTATTAAATATAAATGGCATATAATTATAATTGTAATTATAATATATTTTTTTATTTTGATAAATGAAAAAAAAATGAAATTGTTTTTATCAATTTTAATTGTAAAATAAAAATTAAGAATATTCATATAAAATGTATATAAAATAAATATTGAAATATTAAAATATAATTGTTATGATTTTTCAAATCTCGTGCTTTGAAATTACTTGTCGTCAATTATGCCTTCAGTTTAAAAACATTTGTGTATAAAACATATGGCGGACAAGCGAACCTATCCAAAAAAACACAGTGCCTTCAAAACCACTCGCCTGCGTCGGCGTTCTGGTCACCTAAATCGGCCATCTTACACCGAAATGCCGTCCAAGTCACAGCCAATCTCCGGCGAACCCTGTCCCCCTCGCGTTCTCCTCATCCCTAGTGCAGGCATGGGCCACCTCGTTCCCTTCGTCCGCCTCGCTGCCGCCCTCTCCGCTCGCCGCATCGATGTCTCCCTTCTCACCGCCCATCCCACCATTTCCGAGGCCGAATCCCGCCTCATTTCCTCCCTTCCCCCTTCTCTCGTTGTCGACTTTCCCCTCGCCCCTCTCGACCCCTCACTCTTCCCACCCTCCTCCGACCCCTTTCTCCTCCGCATGGAGGCCCTTCGCCATTCCGCTCACCTCCTACCGCCTATCATCTCCGCCTCCGCGCCAGTCTCTTCCCTCATCGTCGACATATCCATCGCCTCCAACTTCCTCCCCGTGGCCGCCGCCGTCAACATCCCTTGCTTCGTTCTCTTCACTTCGTCTGCTGCCATGCTCGCTCTCTGCTCTGTTTTTCCATCCTATTCTCTCTCCTCCGGCGACATCGACATCGCCGGCGTCATCAAAATACCTTCTTTTACCTTTCCACAGCCCCTCCACGACCCCAACCATTTCTTCAAGACCCAATTCGTTGAGAACGGCAAGGCGCTTACTCTGGCAAGCGGAATTCTAGTCAATACATTTTCCGCCTTGGAGCCCAAGGTGCTCGCCGCGCTCAATTCCGGCGAAGTCCTCCCCGGCCTTCCGCCGGTGATCCCTGTAGGTCCTTTGCCTCCGGCAAGAAAGCAGCCATCTTGTCCATCGCCGGCCATGCGGTGGCTCAACGAGCAGCCGGAGAGGTCGGTAATTTATGTCAGCTTCGGCAGTCGTACGGCGATGTCGAAGGAGCAGATTAGGGAACTGGGAGCTGGGCTGGAGATGAGCGGATACCGGTTTTTCTGGGTGATAAAGAGCAAGATGGTGGATAGAGAAGAGAAAGGGGAGATTGAGGAATTGGTGGGAGAAGGATATGTGAAGAGAGTGGAAGGGAGGGGAGTGGTTGTGATGGACTGGGTGGAGCAGGAGGTGGTTCTTGCTCATCGGGCGGTGATCGGATTCTTGAGCCATTGCGGGTGGAATTCGATGATGGAGGCGTCAGCGGCGGGGGTGAGGGTGCTGGCCTGGCCGAGGGGGGGAGATCAGAGGGTTAATGCGGCGGTCGTGACGGCGAGTGGCCTCGGTATTTGGCCGGAGGAGTGGGTGTGGGAAGGGGAGGAGGGAGTGGTTGTGGCGGAGGAGATTGCGAAGAAGATGACGGAGCTGATGGTGGATAATGGGGTGGCGGAGAGGGTGGCGAATCTGGCTAAGGAAGCGGCGGCTGCGGTGGCGGAGGGCGGGAGTTTGGGGAATGGGTTAGCGCTGTTTCGTAGGTAAGTTATCACATGAGAAAAAACGTTTTGCCGTATATGGATTATTATTAGGGTGGCAATTTACGATGTAAGCGTAATTTAAATAAAATAAATAGATATTATTAAGTGAATTTTACGATAAATTTTGACATTTTGTTTTATGATAAAATTGTACGGTCTTTTGGTGGCTCGATTTTCCAGATGCTAAAATTATATATTTTGGGAAATTAAAGTAAAATTAAATTGAAATCAATATTACTAAAATAGGACATATAACCCATAAATTGTTTTATGTGGTTATTTTGTATTTTGTATCGTTATGTAATCATAAATCAGTATGAAAAAATTTATTTCAAATCCATTTTTATATTTTAATATTTGAAAATTTTATTTGCTATTTCTTTGCATAAAAAGTAAGGTTTTAAAAATCGGATTTGTTTTGTCCAGGGTGAACTAGTCATAAGGGCATCTCCAACCGAACGGCAAACACTTGTTTGCCGTTCTTGCTTTGCTCCAACCGATCTCCATTTTTGACGCCATTTGATCGCGGATGAACAGTGCGACGCCAATATTGGCGTTGCACTGTTCATCTGCGGCATTTTCTTCTCTCTACCGAACAGCTTGG